GAATGCTGCAGAGCGACTTTCTCCATGTCGAGGTAAGGTATTAGAGCTATTATATTAGGATTGAAGTTTCCCAACAATTTATGTCCAGGAAACCTCAGGTTTCTTTCCATTCACTAGTTTTTTGCAGGGCTCCGACTGAGAGAGACATGCGAGCTTCTATATGCTTTGACCATCTCTTCTCGCACATTTTATCAATACCTACCGTCTCTCAATGGGAATAAATCTTCATAAATTCTTCAAGTCAGTCCAGAAAGGAAAACTCGTAATTATGTCGTGAAAGACAGAAGAAAAAAATCAGGGGGAACGGAATAGCGGATGGATTGCAGACGCAGACCAGAGGAACCCACATAAAGTCATGGATTATTGGGGAACACCGTTCATGAGAGTAATTATAACTTTACAGCATCACTTTGATAATACAGAAAGGGAACACCTTTATTCGTCCAGTAAGTTCTAACAGGGTATAGTCCAAGGATGTAATAAGATATCGACTGGTCTCAGACAGTTCATAGACGTTCGAGAAGAGGTCGAGGCAAGCAGATCGTACCTCCCGGTCTTTGAGATCGAGTGACAATACTAAAGGAATGAACAGCAGAATGAAACTAATGCTTCGGATATCGATAGCTCTAGTAAGCCCGCTAGTGAGCCCGAGAATTGCAATGAAATATGATATGATCGGAAATCATTCGAACTTGAAATAATATTAGTATCTGTGAATTTGTTTACATAAGAAGCATCCTAACCCTAAAGGCAAACTACTTCAACATGGCACGACCCGGCCCCACCCACCCGAGCCTCACTGCAGGTGTCTGAGTAAATTCTCAAAATCAAACAAAGGGTTAATGAAGAGTTGTCAAAGGTTCATATTGAACAGGTGTACATCGAGGTAAGCGAAGCCGAAATAAACTCGTAATCGTTTTCGACGTTCTCCGACTGCCCGNAAATAAAGGGTCACGGAAGAGTGGTCAAAGGTTCATATTGAACAGGTGTACATCGAGGTAAGCGAAGCCGAAATAAACTCGTAATCGTTTTCGACGTTCTCCGACTGCCCGATTCGAAACTGTGCTCCAAGCCTTTAGGGTGAGGAAAAGACAGTGTAGGGGCTACAAAAAAAGGGTGTTTATGGGCATGGCGGTAGGGAAGCGCAAAGTAACCAGAGCTATCCTTCCTATTGCGTACTTTATACCAGTAGAAGCGCTAGGCTGTCCTTCTTTCTCTATTGAACTTGACCCGTCAGCTGCACTCTTCCGAATTTAGACGCTGGTTGAAAGAGCAGGGGTTATGAATTTTCGGCAAATACGCATACATATGCCAAATACCTGTATTATGCTTCTTTAATGATCAGGAGTCCAAAAAAATTGGATATTGGCCCGCAAACAGACTGTGGTCAACTCTTAGCGGTAGCAGGTGTAATCACCGAAATGAGCGGAGCTCAGGGCTAAAATCTTGACCCGATCCAGGATTATTTTGGACTATGACAGATAGAGTGCAGCTAATAAGGGAGGTAGTTTCCATAGCAAAGGAAGCGGAGCTTGCGCGAAGAAAGCGTTTTTCAGACAGAAAGTTGTAGCGCGCCTCCAGGCAACCGAAGAAGTCTGAAAAGGAGCCAGAGGCTGCGAGAAAGCAGAAGACTTCAGTTTGACTCAGTCAATTGTACCTCAGATGAGCGCTACCAAAGGAAAAGCTGCGTGACGCTTCTGAGCAACCGAAAAAGCTTGTAAATCTGAAGACCCTGGTGGGCTATATATGCGCTCAAATTATGCAGAACTTAGCCTGATATATGAAGAGACGTGCTTCGAAGTAGAAATTCTCACTACCAAGTTTTACAACTGCTATAGGAACATTTCACAATTCCCAGAGAATAGGTAGAGCATACTAGAAGTTGAGAAGTCAGTTCACATGATAGGAGTATAAGAGCATTTGGACCAGAAACCTGTATCCGATCAAGAACCAGAGAGAGCCAAAAAGGTAGGCAGAGGAGCAATGGAGCACAACACAAATCTTCATGGTTGTTGAGGCTGTGAATAAAAGGCCAGAATGTTAAAAAAGGTCAAAAAATAGAATACTGATTAATATTGACGAGTATGTGAATAAATAGTAATCATATTAACGAAAATGTATTATATTTAACTAATATTCAAGACTCAGCTCCCTTTAGCGCAAAGGATTCGGTTGCGGTATATTAAATATTTAAAAGTTACGGTGAAGTACAATTCAATAATGATCATCCGATTACGGTGAATATCGATTTTTGTGTAAGTGGCCACATTTTCACAAATAAGCTTCCTTCAGGGCGAAGCTGAAGTTTGTATTGAAAGACTTCGACTACTCATCTTATGCGCCGTCGAGAAGAAAAATGAACCAGGATGGTATTCTGGGTATGGCACAGAAAGGGAAAGAGCCCGAGCTTCCAGATTGCGAGGCAGAGCAAGCAGAAACATTGAAAGGGAGCAGGAACACAGGCAGAAAGATAGATAAGTATATACAGTCAAAAAAAAATGTGTTTAACCCTCTGCGTCCGATTAGATCACAAAAATTAGACTTTTACGGAATTACCCAGTGACTACAAATATGAATTCTTAAAGACTACCCTTCCGGGCAGGCCATGCTCTCCAGCCGCGCTGTATCGTGGACAGCTGAAACTGGAACACCAAAGATTGAATCTTGAAGCTTCCTTCTAGAGTAAATGTCTTCCTTTTCTTCTATTATATCTACCTCGGGAGGGGGGGGGATTCGAATTTGAAGACCTGTTCGGGCTACCAAGTAATGCAGTGTTTTCATTCATTAGATGGAACAATCCCGGACAAAAATAGCACTCTCCGGATGACTTGCTGCCCATCCTGTTTTCTGTAATATACAAAACCTTATTTTTATGCATTTTGAATTGCTAATTGCGAGATGAGATTTTTGATTGGCAGCACCACTTTCACACTAATTGATGGCGAGAAAATGAATGGAAAGCTTTAAATCTGGGAATTCGTAGACATATATAAACCAGGCACCCAAACACTGGAGTCGTAAATCAATTAAAACGTTATTCTTCATCATTTCACAGTTTTCTCTTTCTTAGTGATGACTGTGAAGTTAGTTGGGTAACAAAGGGCTTAAATCAAATTCATTCATTGATCCTGTTAACAAATCCTGTCATGCCTATTGTTTAAAAAATTCACGAAACACCCATTCATGACTATTTATATGTCTTAAGGTTAATGTACGCATTTACTGTGGACTTCTTTAGCGAGCAGTTGAAGGCTAAGTAAGTGAATAGATCGCTTGGTTTGATTAACAGAGAGCCCATGGATGGACCGCCTTCGGCCTGTTCCGACTTTGGGAGGAGCTCAAGTATAGGGCTTTTAACCATCGAGTACTTCTGTGCCGGTACTGATTGAAAATGTTGGCAACTAAGAGCTTTCCATAGCACAGTCGGATGTGAGGTTCAGTGCTCTGTCAAAGCAAGAGTTCCGCTTATTACAATGCGCTCGAGCTGGAACATTCCGCTCATCTCTTTCATACTTTTCATATGGACTGTGCATAGGTATGATGAACAAGCAGCCAGCGCCCATCAACGCATTCCGGAAGGTTCACTCCACATGTGCTTGGAGAAATCCAAAGTTAATGAGAGAAAATCATGGCACTGTCGGAGCCAAGGTGTCAAAATTCAGATGGACCGTCAAGCGATATCAAGAAGACGTGGACGTCGCTGACCATCTCTTGGAACCTCACACGATCGAAGAAACGGCAGCCAGACCAATAAACTACTTCTTTGAATATCTTGAAATAGAAAAAACGGTTAGGTCCAAGCTCCTCAAGCGGGCAGAGTCCTTTGAACGATAATAACTGCTCGTGAAAAGAACGAGTGCTCCATGCAACTGAAGCGCCAGTTCGGGTGAAGCGATGCTAAAGCAAGTTGATCGACAGCGGGACGTTAGCTAATTGGGGTGATAGCATAGAGTACTGAAACACCTTTTTATGAATGCTTTGCATAGACATTAACTTTACTTTGACGTCAAAAGACCTTTCTCTCTCGAAAAATACCTCAGCCAATTCCTTGAACGCCTCCGTGAGGCAGCTCACCGTGTTCCGTGACAAGACTTATGAGGTTTCCGCTCAAAAACTCCTCTAAAGAGTAAGTCATGAAATCGAGGAGGGCATGGGAACCATAGGTGCGAGGATTTGGACCCAGCATTTAAAACGTGTAGCGTTTACAGCACAGCATCATCTTAAAATAAACATTGTAGAAAGAAATCGAGGCCATAAAGAACATAATTTCCCCCTATATCCCCCTACAAACCTTATGGAGGGCTGTTTACTCTTTACCTCAAGTTAATGAAGAGAAAAGCTTTGTTCAAGAAACTGCAAATCTTGCCAAATTTGCGTGATGACCTCCATTTACCTTAAGCTCGTGATATTCCGATCCAAACGTTTAATTGTGTTCTGAGGGATTTCACTAATGAAGAATAGATTTCAGGATGAAATTTCTCATTTCATTCTGCTTCTTCGCTGTCACGGCGGCCCACCTCTCTTATTATTTCATGGAAATGTTCCATCCACCATTCCTGAACGATAAGGGTTTGAGCTGGGAGGCTCAACACGTCTACTACAAAATCCTCTTCAACAAAACGTTGACAATAACTGAGCAGAAGAAGGAAATCAGGGCCTGGGCAAAGGAAAACAACCTCACGGTATGTGAAGATGCCAGTGCCAACAGAATTTTCACCCTACATGAAATTCTATCTTTTCAGAAGGAAGTGACAAGTTTCTTCAGTCAAATCGGCAAAGGCGTGATAGAAATGAATAAGAATGTGTCCAAATTGATTGACACTTTACCAGTAGCCTTTAGAAATGTCACCAAAATACTGAAGAACGAGCATCAGACGATGTCTCAGATGATGAACGCCATGGAAAAGCTGAAGGCGGAGCACCCATCGGTAAGAATGGCCTAACCATCGTAAGGAACCTGTCCATGAGTATAGCAGAGTTTCGTTGAAGATGTTCGAAATTATCGGTATTTTCCAGGTCTTCAGTGTATTAGATACCGCTATGGAACAAGTAATGGGCAAAAACGGGCCGAACGGACCTCACTCGAAACCGCAAGGAGGACCTTCCCCATCTGGTAAACCGAACCTGCCCTCCTGGCATAAAGGATTGAGTGACGGACCTTCCGGTGGCTGGCCAAACAGTGGATCTTTCCATAGTTCCACGCGTTCAAAACGAGGAATGCTGTTAGTCGACCCTTACGAGGATGACGAGGTAAGATTTAAGAACTATGAGACTGCGGCGTTTGCTAATTTTATTTCCAGAAAGCCTCAGGTTTCTTTCTATTTGCTATCTCTTTGCAGAGCGACTACTGAGAGACGACCTGCAAGGTTCAACATGCTTTGACCATCTCTTCTCGTATGTTTTGCCAATCCTTACCGTCTCTCGATGGAATAAATCTTTATAAATTCATCTTGCCAGTTTAGAAAAGAAAAATAAGTAATAACGTCGTGACAAAAAGAATAAGGTCAGGAGAAATGGAATAGAGACCAGAGGGGTCCAAATAAAGTCATGGATTATTGGTGATCACCGTTCATGACTGGAATCATAACTTTCCAGCATCACTTTGATAATACAGAAAGGGAACAACTCTATTCTTCCAGAAGGTCCTCAAAGGCGATCGTCCAAGGATGCGAAAAGATTGCGACTGGTCCTAGACAGTTCATGGAGGTTTGGAAGGAGGTCGGAGCAAGCGAATGATACCCCGTCGGTCTTTGAGATAAAGTGGCATTACTAGTGGGATAAACAACAGAGTAAACTGCTGCTTTGGATATCGACCCAATCCGCAGCTATCAAAAATCTAGTAATCATCAATCTTATCATCGGCTGTATCCTCTACACATATACTTACAAGCGGTTTGAATTGTTACTGGTATGCTGGTGCTCGTGCAAGTACCCCATAGTTGCATACGCTACGTGTATTTCGGGTAGAAAATCGGAGTGGATGGAAAACTCGGCTCATCGGATAAACGCACAGTCCCGATGACGGTGTTAGGGCAATGTTTTCGACGACTGAGACTTCATCAGTGAGTCGGAGATTCGACATCAAGAACCACAAAATAACTGAAGGAGTTCCTATGTAAGAAACGAAAGTTACCACGCTCTAATATCATTCGGAATGAGTGCGAAGTCCCAGGTGGAGTCGGTGGACGGAACGCAATTAAATCTCAGCACCGACTGTCCGTCTTGTCTCTCTATATATAAAGCAGTAACTTTGTGTGTCTGTTTGTATGTCGGTTTGTGCGTCCGCGAAAAGTCGCGTAGGCGCGATTGAGAGTGTGGATGTCACGCTCGGTGCAAGCTAGCATTACTCGCACGTCGCACATTTTCAAGGGACTGTCTACCACGAACAAGTCAATCCTTCTCAAAGTTTATAAGACATATGTTCTACTCTGATGAAGGAGGAAGGACGTCATTACCCTTGAAAAAGTCCAAAATAACTTCACGCGTAAAATTCTTTTCCGATGTAGATGCTTCTTCTATTCTGTTATTCCAAGAGCCTTCATTTGTAACAGTTATCTTGAACTCTCAACATTGGAATCACGGCGCAAAGTGTTTTTGTGTGCATGGTTCACAAACTGCTGTACCAGTGTAATGATTTTGGCGCCTTTGATGTTTATAACAAAACGCATTC